GGAGGGGGGGTGGACTGCGCCCGGGGATGAAGCTGCGCTGGGGGCTGGGGTGGACTGCGCCCCGGGACGAAGCTGCGCTTGGTGGGGGGCACTGCGCCCGGTGCTGAAGATGTGCTCGTTGTGGAGGGTGCGGCGCCCTGGCATGAAGCTGCACTGGTGTGTGTTTTGGAGTGGGGGGAGGTAGCCTGCGCTATGAAAGGGAGACTGCACTTCTGGGAGGAGAGGCTGCGCTGCCTGGAGAGTAGGCTGCGTCCCGGGACGAAAGGGAGACTGCGCCCCTGGGACGGGAAGCTGAGCCCCAGTGGAGTGGACACTATGCCCGGGATGAGGCTGAGCCCCGGGATAAAGGGGACGCTGCACCCCGGAATGGAGATGAGCCCTAGGGAATGGGAGACTGCGCCAGGACAGACCCTTCTCCTCCCCAGGAGGGCCGCGCGTGCTCCGCCGCCGCTCTCCGCCCCAGGGAGGGATGGCTGCGCCCCCGACGGCCGGCGTCCCCTTCTGGAGGGCACTGTGTCCCCGCGGGAGGCGCTGCGCTGCCCGGAGGGGAGAGAGCGCCCTTGGGATGAGGCCGCGCCGAGAAGGGGAGGCTGCGCCCCCCAGGCTCAGGCTGCACCCCTGACCACCCCGCGTCCCCTCCCGAAGGCGCGGTGTCCGCGTGGGATGCTCTGCGCCCTAGGCGGCCTGGGACGGGGGATGTTCCCCGGTGGGAGGCGGGCGTCGGGCGACGCGAGCCATCCTGAACAATCTGGGGCGATTGGGGGCCCGAGGTGAATTCTGACGCGTTCACATCTGCAGTAGGAAAATTACCGGCTTGTGGATGGGTTGGAGGGAAGGTGTCACATTGAGCTGTGGTTGCTCGGAGTGTTGGAGTCCGGATTTACAGACCCGAGAAACGTGCTCCGGACCGGGATTTGTCAGAGTCCGGGACCCTGGCCTGTGTTTCGCAGTTAATATTTTCAGGCACCAGGTTTTGGTAGTTACTTCTGATAAGGACATTTTGTTTCCTTACTAAGGAGCCGTAATGGTCAGCGTTCCACTCTGCAAGTCGGAGGAAAACAGCCTGATAACCAAACTTGCTTCCTTACTCTTAGTGCCCTAATTAAGATGACAGATCCATCAGTGAGCTTTGGGAATAGGAATATCGATTTAATCCTTTGTTTCCTCTTATATTTACCTATTTTTATTCCTTTGAAAGGTGCCTCCACAGCTACATTTTCTAAAACAGTGGGTTGTCTTAAGAGCAGTTCCTGGGAAATGTCTTTTAATGACCATCTTTTCTTTGGGGCAGAGACTACCCTCTGCCTGCCCAGAGTTTCCTAGAGGAGAAAGGGAGAAGGCAGGCTGGTACCGCTTCGATAGGACAGGAGAATTAGCGGTCCGTGCCCTCATGGCCCTTCCAGTGGGCAGGTCCGCTCCCAAGGCTGGGCAGGACCTGCTGAGCTGGGTGTGGAGACCCTGCCGGAGGGGAGGCAGGGGACTTGCAGGGGCTTTGAGAGGAGTGCCTCTGTCTGTGAGTCATGCCCTGTTCCATGGCCTGGGCTTCCTGAGACCCGACAGACTCAGCTATGTCTCCAACAAAATTGCAAGCTCTAGCTGGAAGGGAGAAAGGGAGGCCTTTCTGCAGGGGGCAGTGGTGAAAAGAGCACTGGTCCAGCTCGGAAACTGATGACACATGTAGGGCGAGGTGCGGTGTGCTCACGAAGTCCCTGCGGAGGGGTGGGGCGGGAGGCTTAGCCGATACCGTCATCGTCCGCACACAACTGCTCAGCTCCCAGGCAAACGCTCCCCTCTGCGAACCGACACGTTGTGAAAGCGTTTCAGCGGCTTCCAGAGTTTTGGAATGCGAAAATTCTTTACACTTGCTTTTCTCTGGTGAATGAATAAAGCAACCTGAATTCCGCTGACAGATACTTGCACGGCGTGCTGTGCGCTGGGCCCTCCCTGTTCCAGGGCTGGGGGTTAGTGCTCAGCACAAAGTTCAAGACGCTTCAGACGCCGGCAGTTGAGTGGTCGCTTCATAGCATTTCACTAGAAGTAAGATGATGACTTGGGTCATAAAGCTTGACGTACAGCGTTAAGGTTCTTACGTGTAGACGTACGCGTGTGACGGCGCGCTCGGAAGGGGCACGGAGTTAAGGCTCGTTACGCCCCGTGCCCTCTGCCCTGACGTTGATGTGCACCTCCAAGCCGTGGTCAAAGTACAGGCAGGTTGTGCTGTTTTAATGCAGGTTTTAATGTTTGCGGCAGCCTGCGAAGGGTTTTATACGCGGGTGCAAGCGAAACCCACCGGGTCTCACGCGTCCCCACAATCCCTTCGTCCTAAAGTTTAGTCCAGAATGGAGTTTCACTCCCTGGAATGCTGGGAGGCGCTGCGTAGAGCCTTAGGAGCGAGGACTGCTATTTAAATAGGAGGTGGTTGGAAACTACTTTGGAGGTTAATAGGTGAACTTATATACTTACCAGCCTTTAAAAAATTTAAGGAAAATGGTCAATCTTAGTGTGACACTGAAAAGCTTACAGAGTTCCAATTCTATTTAAGAACTTGATGGTTTTTTGTGTTAATTTTCTAAAACGTGAATTTCCAAATTTATAATTCGGTGTGATGGAAATGGTGGTGTTAAAAAACAACCCAGTAAAAATATATTCGTAATGTGTGGTAGAAAAGGTAAATAGTGAGAATTTCATTTAAAAGTTGTAATTAGGGGTGCCTGGCCGGCTCAGTCAGTGGAGCTGTGACCCTTGATTTCGGGGTGATGAGTTTGAGCTCACGTTGAGTGCAGAGCTTACTGAAAACAAAATAAAAATACACAGTTCTGTACCCTAAAACAAATAATACGTTATATGTTAACCAAAAAATTAATTAAAAAATAAAAATAAACTAAAAATTGTATGTTGAAGCAATTAAAATGTCTTTATCGCTTGAGTGACTTTCCGTGTTTTATTCGGGGTGTGGCCAGGAAAGATGCGGAGGCCGGAGGAGGTCTTCACACGGCCTTCCTGCGGAGCTCGCGGCCGTGGGGCCCGACTGCTCTTGTGCGGCCGTGCCGATGCCCGCTGCCCGCTGCTGTCCTCCACGCGTGTGTGCGATGGGCCCTGGGGCTGCACCAAGAGAACGGACTTTTGTTTTCCGTCGGCATCTTTGTGATGGATTGGAATGAGCTGGGGTAGCGAGGCTGCGATGGCCTGGAGGGACCGGGAATTTTCACGGGAAGTGCGGGCGTCTTGTTTGTCCCACCGGGTCACCAGCACCCATTACCGGTCCAGGAGCTGGAGACGGGTGTGAGCCCGTAAGGGTAGCTTCTGCCCTCATGGGATGCGCGTTATGGGGGAGGAGAGGACGGCACGCGCCAGCTGAAGTCTTACTGTGCCAGGAAGGGAAAACACAAGAACGCCGAGGGGGGGGGCCGGGAGGTGGCCCGGAGGACGAGGGAGCTGGGTGCCGACAGGCGGGCAGGGTGGACTCGCAGGCGCTCCCTTGTCCGGTGCTGCTTGGGAAGGCCCGCGAGAGGGAGGGAGGCCGAGGGCCGACTGGGATTGGAATTGCCGTGTGGTGGGAAGCCCTCCGAGGGCAGCCCTCCCTCCCTCCCTGGGTGCCCTGGGGAGTCTTGGATGAGGGAACGTCATGATGGAGCCTTCGGACAGTCACTGGCTGCGCAGCTCGTGTGTGTCAGGGACTCAGGACAAGCCAGGCTTCTGGATCCCCTTCCATCTACGGACTTACATCTCAGGGGAGTCCAAAATGGGGGCCGTGTCCCGTGTCTTCCCATCCAGCGAGGGCACATGTAAGGGGCGATGCCAGGACTGCCCGGAGCCCCGGGAACACAGGGGCTCTTCCTGCCACCGCGGCTGCAGGCAGGGGGGCTCCAAAGGGGCACGTGCCAAGATCCCCGTGGGCCAGAGGGTGACATGAGACCCGGCCCGCTGTCCGTGGGCTCTGTACTGGTGGCAGGGGACATGCTGCCGGTCACACTGGGGTGTGAGGTGCCTTCAAACCACTTCTGCCTCACTTCCACTCACTTAGTGCTCCTGGACTTGAAGCACAGACATTTAAAATCATACCCTTGTGCCTTCAAAAAAAAAAAAAAGAAAGAAAGAAAGAAAAGAAAACACAAGTGGAATGAAGTACAGTAATTACAAAATTTCTTTCTGTTAAAAATCCGATTCTTGGGGCGCCTGGGTGGCTCAGTGGGTTGAGCCGCTGCCTTCGGCTCAGGTCATGATCTCAGGGTCCTGGGATCGAGCCCCGCATCGGGCTCCCTGCTCAGCAGGGAGCCTGCTTCCCTCTCTCTCTGCCTCTCTGCCTGCTTGTGATCTCTCTCTGTCAAATAAATAAATAAAATCTTAAAAAAAAAAAAATCCGATTCTTCCCAGCCAGCCTTCGAGCATCGACGTGCTCCGAGCTGCCCCTCTGTTGTTCCCTGTGCCCGCTCTCCTTACGACCTCACCCCTGCCGTCTGGGGGTCTTCCAAGCCCCTGACGCCCGCCCGGACCGTCTGGGTGCTCTCTTGATGTTCCTGGTGGCTGTGAAGGGCAGGTTTCCGGTCTTTGTCGACCGACCTGTTGATGGGCCGTGTCGTCCTGTCTCCTGTCACTGTGAGACACCACCCGGCCAGGCATGTCCGATTTCAGAGTGTTCCTGCAGGGGGAGATGCGCGTCTGAGGGCGGGCGAGCTGGCGCGTGCGGTGGGCAGGCCCGTCAGGATCAGAGCATCGCAGACCGGTCCCTGGGTGGCCGGCCCGAGCGGTTGGCTGGCGCTGGTGAGGAGATGGGGGACTGGGGAAGAGTGAGCGTGTGCGGGGAGAGCAGGCGTTGGGGGCGGGCCGTGGGGGCCGCAGGGCCTGGCCAAGGCCGTTCCTCAGCAGGCGCGCCCGCGGGCTGGGCCTTGAGCTGCCGCGCTCGGATGTGTGGTCTCGAGCAAGCTGTCGGGTCTTTCTCTGCTTGGGTTTTCTGATCCGTACGTTAGGCAGAGCGGTGGCGACCTTTGTCCTCCGGTTGCTGGGTCAGTACGCTGTGCCCGCGTAGTGCCTAAAACAGTGCCTCCGACAGTGCTAACGAGGTTTGCTTTTCTTGTTACTTCTGTGATTAGTCATCCGCGTGGAGATGTCTGGATACAAGCGGAAATTCAAGGCTGGGCTCAAGACGCCGTTGGGGCCAAGTATGTAAATTTGGGAGCCGTTTCGCAGTTGTGGGTATAGACAGGGCGGAGCCTGGGGACTTCTGGTCGCGGGGTCCTCGGGAGGAGGAGGGTCTGGCCACACCTGCTGTTAAGGGGTCTGTTGAAGGCGGAAGCCGGCAGGGCCTGGGGGCCTGGGAGCCAGGGCTGAGGCAGTGGGCCTTGCAGTGGTCAAGGGCACGGTGCGGGGTTCTCGGGGGGAGTCTGGTTAAAAGCGGGCAGAGTGTGGGTCTGTAGCTGGAGGGGTCCTGGGCTCTAGGGAGTCACGTGATTTCGTTCTTCAGGTGGAGATGATGATGGTGTGTTTATGGGTTCACAGGAGTGACCCAGTGGGGGGGGGGCAGCTTCGTATGACGTCGGGAAGAGGGTCGCTGCAGGAGCCACGTCCTTGAGAAGGTGGGCGGGAGGCCGGAGCAGCAGGACCTCTGCGCAGGGGGACCTGGACTCCCTTCGTGGTACTTCTGGAAGACGTGCTGCCCTTTCGAAGGGAGACATAAAACAAAACAGACCCTTGTCTCGGTCTCAGGAACTCGGGGCTCGTGCTCTCGAACTTAGGCCCCAGTTTCTTGTTAGCTCCTGGCGTCAAGCATACCTTGGGGTCCCTTATGGAAAGACACACGTGGGAACGGCGTTTCTCTTCACCAGAGCCATTCCCTGCCTTGGCTCGGAAAGTGTCACGAGCTTCTCGAGACGCCGGCGCCTTTCCTGGCCGGGTCGGGTCCTGTTCTTGAGGACGAGCGCGGGATGCCTCCCGCCTCGCGCTGCGGTTGTCTCTAGCCATCTAGAAGGGGGGAGCTTTGCCTCCGGACGGCCCCCCCCGGGGGAGGACAGGGTCGCTTCAGCCCAGTGAAGCTGGTTGTCCCCGGGGCAGCAGCCCTCTGCCGGCTGGGGCGAGGGGGCTCCTCCTGCGTGCCGGCCTGTGCTGTCCGCGGTGGGCTGGTGCGTTCGCAGGAGTTCCCGCCGCGGGCTCGGGTGAGGAAGCCTTCACCGGCTCCCTGCGTGTGCCCGCGCTCGGTGCCGCGGGAAGACTGTTGACGCCGCTCTGGGCATTCTTTCCCACAGTGACAGGTTCTGTGTGAGTCATCATGGAAGGACGCACTCTCAAGGAGAAGCCCTCTGCCTCCTCGGGCCAACCTTCCGGCGGGGAGGCCAAGCCAGGCACTAGGGCAGACGGTCTGCGTCAGAGGACGGCAGCTGGGCAGGTCAGGCCTCTCTCCAGAGGGGCGCCACGCTGATGCCCAGCGGAGACGAGCTCTTCCTAGCCAGAGCGGGGACAAGGACATTCCCAGTGGAAGGGACAGCCTGCAGGAGCCCTGCTTGTTGGAGCCGCTGGGGGAGGGAGGAGCCTTTGTCCGGTCACTGCTGGGGAAGCTTGGAGGTGAGCTGTGCACATGGTTCGAGGCTGCGGGTGCCGAGTGCCGGGCTGTGTGGGGAGGGGGTCTGGGGGTGAGGAGCAGGGGGCGTTAGGAGGGGCTCTTAGCACTGTCTGCGACCTGAGATGAAAGTCCTTCAGTTACGGGCATCACTCTACATCCAGTTCTGTTGGAATCTGGGAGTCACTGATCCTTTGGTGTGTCACGTGTGGAACATGAACGCACGTGTGCGTGATGCGGGACGTGTGTGCCGCGTTGTTCGTAAGACGCGGGGCAGCAGGGGTGCCCGGGTAGCTCAGTCGGCCGGGCGTCTGACTCTTGCTTTCAGCTCGAGGCATGGCCCCAGGGTTGTCCCGGCCCCAGGGTCCTCATGGTGTCCTGGGGTCCAGCCCCGCCTCGGGCTCTGTGCTCAGTGGGGGTCCTTCTGCCCCCTCCCCAAACCAGCTGTGTGTGGCACAACCGGCAGAACGAAGAGTGCTTGTAGTGGGCTCACGTATCCCTCCCAAGCGTATCGCCCCTGTTTCTCAGCCGGGGACCGGACGTGAGAGGGCGGGCAGGGTCAGGCAGAGCGGGGTGACCTTCGGCTCGCGCTCTGTGAGCTGTCACGGTGTGTTGGGCGTGGTGGAGCGGGGAAGCCGGCCACTGCCCACGCGGCTCGGAGGGGGTCTCCCTGACGTGGGGCCGTCGTCCCCCTCAGACTGCTGCCTCCGTAGCCTCCTGCCCTGGGTCTGCTTCTGCCTGTTCCTGACCGGCCTCCTGATCAGAGCCTGAAGTGGGGAGGATGGATCCATCACTCGCCTGCCCGGGCGCTGCCACTCCCCCATCTCAGAGTCCTCCCGGGGCCTGGTCTCCCTTTCCCCCATCCCCCTCCAGCCCCGGGGCCTCGCCCCCAGCCACCCCCTGGGCTTGCTCCCCTCCCCCCTCCCCCACCTCCTCAGCCAGCCACGGTGTGTCCTGCTGTCCCTTCCGTTTATCTTCCTCCCCCTCCCCATACCTCCTCCCTCCCATCAGGCTGCCGTCCGGCTGAGCAAGTGTTATCTCCCCGCGGAGTCAGGGCTCTTGCCCGTCTCTGCCCTCGGGGCTCAGAACGGCTCAGCGAGAGCGGGCACTTACCTGTGTCTGGAACGAAGGACTGGGGTTTTCGTACTCTGTAGGTAGTAAGTGGGCAGGGCGCACGGAGGCTCCGTGGTCTCCCTCCCCGCCGCACCCCTCCCCTGCTCCTGCCGTTCTTGGTGAATCAGGCCTCTATTCATGCCCGTATGTCTGTTTTCTCCAGATTTGTGTGCTTTTCTTCGTAGAGTGAAACATTTACAAAACATTCAAAGTTGTTCTGAAACCCTGAAGTACAATATCGTAGCTTAGTCTGTTGAACGCAGGGAGCCCTGTCAGCCTACGAGAGCGGCTGTGTCCTGCCGCCGCCACCGTTTGAACCCCTCAGGGCGACGCACAGCTGGGACGCGATCTCTTAAGTCATAACAGCCGGGGAAGTAGGGGTTCCCACTGCCCTGGGACACAAGTGAGAAAGCAAGTAATTCTGGGAGGTTTTGGAAAACACCGATTCAACGGTGGGGGCTTCGAGGGTCGCAGACCTGGAGAGAAGGTGGCCGCTGGGTGCCCGGAGGAGGACGCAGCGCAGAGGAGGAGGCAAGAGGGTGTGCTGGGACTTAGGAAGCTGCCTCCGAACTCGGGGCTCCCCTTCAGCATCCTGCCGCACGGCCCTCAGTGTGCAACAGGGCCGGGGGCGATTTCCAAGCTTTGTTCCATTTCCAGAAGACGGCCGCACGCGGAGTGAAGTAATAAACTCCCGGGGTCTCCGGGGTCATCCAGTCAGCTGTCATCCTGGCACCTGTGTGCGGTCCCCTGTCGGAAGCAGGCAGTGCCTTGTCCCTTCCTAGCGGCTGAGACCCACCAGCGCCTCGCACGTGGCACCGAGCGTCCTGCCGCCTCCCTCTGGGCCGGGCGTTCTGCAAAAGGAGGTGGGGCGCGGGAAGGGAGATGGGGGTCGGTCACGGGTCCCAGCTCCAGGGGACTCCAGACGGCCCCTCTCGCTAACTCCTCAGTCTTGGGGGCCGAGTCGGTGTTGGTGGTCCGGAATCGAGCGAGGCCTGTGTCTCCGGTGGGAGAGGCTGCAGCTTGGCAGAGCTGGCCGCGGGTGAGGAGCGAGCCGGCCGCCTCCGGGAGCTTCGCACAGTCCGGCTGTGGGGCGCTGAGCTCGGCGGAGGCGCCCGAGGCCGCGGTTCCATGTGTGGGCAGCGCGCGTGGACCTCGCTTCCCTTCTGCTTTTGGCCGTTGACAGGATGCCCCGGTTCTCTGCCTTTTCCAGCACTAAGCACGTGGGGTGAGTTGGTTTTCTCGAGAAGAGGAATTCACTCGAGGACGTACGGTGGCTTCCCGCCATCTGACGAGGCTGAGTCGGTCACGGCACCAGGTTCCCCGCTGCCCACACGCCGTCCTAACCCCACACAGGGGCTCCTCCGTATCCTTGTCTTCTCTTTTGGGGTTCTGCTGGGCACCTCCTTTCACGGGTTCCTGTTTGTGGAGGCCGGGCTCTGTGCCTGTCCCCGAGCTTGGCCGCGTGAGGCAGAAGGGGGTGTCCCCATGTAGAGAAGGGGCGTGTGGGCGCGGACATTGGGCGGCGCTGCCTGGACTTTTGGCCTGGGGTCCCTGCACCTGCAGCCACGGGGATGGACCCCAGGGTCGGGCCGCAGCCGACAGAGCGGTGGTGACAGGAGCCGTGTCCCCGAGCCGGCGACGGGGGAGATCAGTCCGTGCAAGTGCAGGCTTCGTGGTCCGGAGCGTCTTCCCCGCAGGGATGACCCAAGCGACAGGGATGGCTCCAGAGCCATCCGTGCGCCGGCTCCGACCGTGCGCGCCGTCGTCCCCACTGCGTTCTCGCGGGGCGGCTTCCCAGACGGCGTTGTTGTTGTTGTTAATATGGTAGAACTTTACTCTCATTCCGAAGTTACCGAAATGTTTCAAGGCCCCCCGTCACGGAGATCTGGGGGGGAGGCTCGGCCTGCGGGGCAGGCTGGTTTGGGAGTTGAGCCCCGAGTCCGAACCCAGGGCGGCCTTCCCAGGACCGAGCCACGGGACCTGAGAGCCGCAGTCATGTGGGTCCCAGAGTTCAGCCTAGATTGGACCGTCCCCGAAGCCCCGTGAAGATCAGTCCTGTCGGGTTCCGGCAGAGGTTGGACGGGCTGAGACGGGGAGCTCAGTCGCGGCACTGCCTGCTGCGGTCCGGCCGCAGGGGGCCGTCACGGGGGGCGTTGGGGTTACAGTGACCTCTCCTCACTCCTGCTCTCGGGCTTTCTGTGTCACGGAGAAGAGGCTTCCCTCACCAGCACGTGAGCGAGTGACGAATTGGTCATTTTACTCTGAAGCTTCCTCTCCTTGAGTTTCCTTCCTCCGACGAAACTGAGTGGGGATTGGTGTTTCCATAGAAACAGCAGGTATGGACCAAACCAGCGGGATGTGATGCGGGGATGGGGGGGCGCAGAGCCGGCAGCCCGTGTGCGGTGCCCCTTGTCCCGCTCAGCTCCCTGTAGCTCCCCACGTGGATCAGCCCTCCGTTTGCAGGGCAGGGTAGGAGAGGGGTGCTTGCTGGACTCGGGGGATCTCCCCGGAAGGCCTTGCTGTAGGAAAGGGAGGTGTCTTCCGTTAGCGAACCCAGACTCAGGCGGGACGTCCCCCGTGGATGGAGCCCCGCCACGGGTGCAGGAGGCGGGAGAGGGCAGGGCTGTGCGCAACAGGCGAGCTCCCACCGGAGTCTCCGGATGGCTGCGGGCAGGCGGGCCGCGGGGGCTGGCGTGATCCGACTGCGGGCCGGCTCAGAGCGGGCAGAGCTGCCGTGAGGAGGGTGGGGCTGTGTTCCGCGGCTGCGGTGAGACGGGCGCTCCGCCAGAGGACAGTTCGGTGCTTCTCGCGGAGGCCTGAGCCGTGCAGCTGTTACCACGCCTGCGTCGCCCCCAGGGTGTTCCGGCGCTCGTGGTAACCACCTGGAGGCCCGGGCAGCCGCCGACCTTCCTGCGTCTACAGACCTATGTGGGGTCAGGCCGCGTGGCCTCTCCTGTGTCCGCTCCCGCCATGCCACAGGGTTTTGGGGTTCGCCGTGTTGGGGAATGGACCCGGTTGGTTCCGTTGGCTGCCGGCGAGCACCCCCCGCAGGGTGCGGCAGGCCTGCTCCTCTGTCGCTGGGGCCGGGCGGTAGGCGCGTTCGTGAGTGACGCCGTCCCCAGTGCCGGCCAACCGGCTCTGCACGCCTGTGCTGGTGCGGCCGGGGGCCTGGCGGCGGCGTCCAGACTGAAAGCTCTCCTTACGCTCACGCTGCTAAAACCGCTGCTCAGACTTGAGGCTGCTCTTTGGGTCGCTGGGAGGTGCACCGAGCTCTTGAATGGTGCGGACGTTTCTCTTCCAGACAAAACGTCACGGTGGTGATGGGAGCATCGGCTGCTGGGGTTTCTTCGATGGCAGCCGGTGTGTGGTGTGCGGTGAGGGGCCCACGGGTGAGCTCTTTCCTAGCGTTTCATCTGCTCTTTCTCCGTCGTCGGGGAGGAGGTCAGTGACGCCCGGCTGGGCGTGTCAAAGCCACCGTTCGGCCTACAGAGCCCCATGTGCCCAGTGGCTTGGCCCAGCAGTGCCACTCCTAGGAGTCTAGCTCGAGGGAACTCCCCCGGCTGTAGGGAGATGCGAGTGTGCTGACCGTCCAGAGAGGCCGTGTGGAGGACAGTCTCTGCAAACGGATTTGGGGTGATTTCCAGAACACACAGAAGGCGAGTGGGGCACAGCGCCAGTGGCTAGTACGCTGCCCTCCGCTAAGAAGACGCCCACGTGGCCGCACACTCCTGCCAGAGGGACGTGGGCAGGATAAGGCTGAGCTGAAGGTGGTGCCGTGGTGGGGGGTGGGGAGGGGGCATAGACTCCGCCGCACGTGTGGGGCCACAGGACCCATCAGGGCAGCCTGACTCTTGGAACCGCAGGCCCTGGAATGAAGTAAGGAAACCCGCCAGGATGTAGGGGGTCCGAGCGCGGACTCCACACACAAGCACGCCTTACTGTAGGACGAACGATGGTGCGGCCACGGAAGCCGGGCTGGGAGGACGCGGGTTAGTCTGGTCGCGGAAGGCCGCATTCCGGCTCGATTCTCTGGGGCTGGAGTCTAGCGGTGCCTTTGTTTCTTGCAAGGGTCAGGTCGGCAGTGTGAGTGCACGGGATGGAGCGATAGCAAGTGTGCCGGAGCCCAGAGGAAGGCTGAAGGGCCCGGTGTGTCTGGGCTGGGACCGGGTCCCTGTGTAAACCCACGGTGTCTAACACGTGCACGCAGGGGTAGGCGGGTGCGGGGACGCAGAGATACACGTGAGTACATGTGTCCAAGCTCTGTGCCTGGCAAGGCCAGCCCGCGAGCGTGCCCGAGCACCCGTCTCCTTCACCTTGTCCGGAGAGCCACGGGGTCCCCTGACGGGGGCGCGGCTTGTGTGCAGAGCGAGGACGCACTCAGAAAGGCTGGGGCACGTCAGGGGGCGCAGGGGCTGCCCTGAAGGGGCACAGAGGGCCCCACTGAGTCCTGCTGAGTGAGGAAATACGTGACGATAGCATCAGCTTGTAGCCCCCGGCTAGGATGACGGCCGCCGCTCCACGCCGGGCTGAACCGTGGCAGCATAAAGAGGGAAGCACACGGGACAGAGGACCGTTCTCCCCGGGGAAGAGCCCGGCCGGTGCGGCGTCTGGCGAGGCAGGTGGCACACCAGCAGCTCGGCGCGGGGGCTCAGCCTCGCGGGCCAGGTTTGAGGAGAAACAGGATATCGGCCTAGACTCGAAGTATCTCTTCCCCGAGTTACTTATTCATTAAAAAGGGAAAAACGGTAACTCTAGAGTGGAGAAAGCCAGCAGACACCGCCTTCCCCGGGCGACGCAAGTTACCGCGCCCTGTGATCAGACCCAGGGCCTCCACCTACCCAGACCGCACACGGGCACATCCCGTCTCTGGTGTTCCAGCCCCAGACGCACAATCACAATCACGGGGCTGTCGTCAGGAGGCAGCAGACCGGCCCCGCTCGACACCTGACCGGTGCTCCTTGAGTGCCCAGGGGCCCAAGGACAAGTTTCTGGAGGGGACGCGAGGGCAGAACGTGGCGCGGCTTCTGGATGGGGTCCTGGCACTGAGAGGGGTCTCAGGAGGAAAACTGGGGACTGCGCATACAGCTCGTGCTCGAGTCGATTTCCTAATTCTGTGATTTATCAGCGATGCTGTCGGATGCAGACGTAGGAGAGGGGACGGAGGATACAGGGGAGCTCTCGACCGTGACTTTCCTCCAAGTCTGTCCTTTCAAAGTAGGAAGCCGAAGAAGAGAGCCTGTGGTGGAGTGTGATGGGACACCGCGGAGCTCAGGGTGGGGACGGGGTCCTCCCATCCATCCCCGCTGCTGTCCCCGATTCAGAGTCGGGTTGGCTGAGAAATCCCCTCCTGCCTCCTTCCTGGGAGTTCTGGGCCCTCGCTCCCCGCTGGAGCGTTCTGGAGCTGTGGGGTGGGGGCCTTGGGATTGCTGGGGGAGGCAGCCGCAGCCCTGGCTGATGGGGAGGCCTGAGGCCCCTCCCGGGACCTCTCACACAGCTATGGGCGTTCTCCTAGGTTGTCCTTGGTCTTGTGGTTCTATTACTTTTTTTTTCCCAAAGAGAGATTTTAAATGTTGACATATTAAACTCTATTGGACTTTTTCTCTGTGACTTGGGTTTTCAGTCCTGTCTGAGAACATTTTCCTACCTTAGGAGTCTTTCCTCTGCCATGTTTTCTGGCAGTTTTATAGTCTGTTTCCACACTTAGCTTATTATCTGTGTGAAGTTTGCTCCTATGCAGTTTGAAGTGAGAGCCGGTACTTCTCCCGTCGCGGAGCCGGTGGCCTGTCCATCACCCAGCGGTCCGCCCTGTGCTGGGGGACGAGAACCGCCGCCGTTGCCGTACGGAGCAGTTTCCGACCACCGGTTCCTGCCGTGCAGAAAGGCGCTCGGGCTCGCACCACGTGTCATTGCGTCCCGTGTCTTCTGGGTAGAGGGTCAAATCGTGCAGATAATGCTGTTTCCGGCGCGTCTTCGTCCTTGCCCTCGTCGGCTGGCTGGGCGTCCGGTCCCAGCGCACACGCACTGCTCACACGGTGGCCGTGGTCGGAGGCCCCCCCTTGCTCTGACTCCGCGCCCGGGCCTCGGGCTTCACCGCCGGGTGCGGGACGGACCAGATGTCCAGCAAGGCAGCGGCTCCCTGCCTGCTTGCTGAGAGGCTCTTGGGAGACCAGCGGTGGGATCTCGTGAGCTTCTTCCGCATCTGTCGGGACGGTTATATGGTTTGTTCTCTCCGATCTGTTAATACGGTAATTTTATTGACAGATTTCCTGATGTTCTGCATTTTTTCCTTCTTTACTTTCAACGCACTGGAAGTTCAATTTGCTATGTACCTTAGCACCTTTTCCTTTTCAAAATAAGCCCTTCCCCTCTCCCTAACTGCGCCCCCCGCCCCAGCATTTTACTCTACGGAGCACAGTTCACAGCCCGTAAGGTGTGTAGCTCCGTGCGGCAAGTCCTCAACGGCTGGTGTGTTGGGAGGACGGGGCTGCGCAGGGCCCTGGTGTGTAGCATTTGCCAATTTCTGTGGCATAAATATTTTCAAGCTACCAATGAGCCGTCAGCTGGTCCATTCCAGAAAGTCCTCTCCCCTGAGCCGGTAGGAGCTGGCGGGCAGCCCGGTGACCATCTCTGACGCCCACCCCGAGGCTCCCATGCCCGTCCAGGTCAGCACTGCTGCCTCCCTGGGGGAGCCGCTGGTCTGGTCTTGGTCCCCTGCTGTCCTCGGTCCTCCTCGTTTTCCACCCTGTGCAGGCGCAGCTCCGCGTTTCCCTCAGAGCCAGCGTGGTCTCCTCACCGATGGCCACCAAGGTGCAGGGCTCCTGGCGACGTCTGTCGGAAACCCG